CCCCGCCCCCCCGCCTCAACCACCACCCCTCCCCGCCCCCGCCCGGGCTTGCGAGCAGCCTGTGGCGGAGCGAAGCGGAGCGGTGCCGTGTGGGCGCATCCTGGGGCAGATTGGGCCCGGAGTGCCGTACGCTGGTCATTTGAAAAAAAATAATCTCTCCGAGGAACTTGACGGAGCGAGGTTCAACTCCGAGAGCGCTCCCGCCTCGGCTGCTCGCAATGCTCGGGGGAAAACGTGAACTTTCATTTTCACGCCGCACCCCCCCTACCCCTCTCCGCCCCAAGTTGTGACTGACCATAAGGTACCTGATGGTCGGGTTAGTGCTCCTATCCCCATTTCACAGATGGGGAAACCGAGATGGAGGTTGCGAGCTGCTGAAAGCCAGGGCAGGCTACAGTGCCGCCCGAAACGCTAGCCTGCACTTGACTTTTGACTGCTGACGGATTCTTTGCTGCGAGCTCTCCTCGGGCTGTGCGGACCCCTGCCTTTGTAGAGAGACCCAACGCATCCCTGCGAGCGGCTCCTCAGGATTTTTGGCTTCAGTGGGTTGTTTTGTTTTGGTTTTTTTTTCATATCAGATACGTTTTTAAAAAGGGAAAGGAAAGTAGTCAAAAGCAGAGGCCTCGGACCTGCAAGCTGTCGTTCCCATGACTTTGGGGAAGATTTTCAAAAGTACATAATGAGAGTTTGGGAGCTCAGTTCCCACTGACTTTCAAAATCTTCCCTTCACGTCTCTGAGCTAGTCCTCTTAAACTCAGTTGGACTACTTGCAGACGAACGTTAGCAGGCTCAGGGCCTAATGCTTCTCATGATTCCACTGCTCCCTTCTAGAGCTGCGCTGACAAAAATATAAGCAGAACAAGTTTTGAAGGGAGAGGTAATTTCTTTCTCTCTCTCTCTTTTTTTTTTTTTTTTTTAACCAACTGACACAGTTGAAAACAGCAAGCTTTTGGGCTCAAAAAGCTTAGACCATCATGGCTACGAAAACTACTGCTACTCAGAAAATATGTAATTCTGGAGCTCCTTAGTGAAAAAGTAGTGCAAGGCAACATGTAAGTAATCACATAGCTAATACTATGCTTTTATGTTGTTATATTTTCCTCAGATTTGAAGTTTGATATTGCTGAAGAAACGGATTCCTAATTTTTTAAACCAGGTTCTCAGTGAAAATTAGCCAGATGAAAAAAACTTCAGTTTGTAAAACCTTTCTGTTAGAAAGGAGGAAATATAAATGATTGGCAGTGTATTTACATTTTTGCTCTTATTTTATTAAAATTACCATGAGTGAAATTTTCAAAAAGTGTGCCTTTCAGCTGAAAAGAATGATAGTAAATGTCTTCTAATTTTTTTTTTCTGAAGGTTATGTGCCTGTGAAAAGAGGACTTTGCAGTAGAAATAGCAATGAAAATAGTAAATAAAAATATAAAATTATTATGTTGCTGATACCACTTCTCTGTACCTAGATTATGTATAGTTTTGCCCTAAAATAATTCTAGTTATTATTTTTCACCCATTTTTCCAACCGTAATAAAAGAATAAGATATAGAAGATGATAGTATGTCATTCTATTTAACAGGACATGGTATTCTCTTATATGAATCACACTATTGTCCTTTCAGATGTTATTCCTAGGGTTTCATTAAGATTTTTAATGAAAGTGAAATTTTTACATCCCCTAATGTTTAATACTTGCTCTCAGATTCCATACTTAATGCACATAGGCCCTGATCCTGTACAGACTGAAATGTGTATTATTATGTGTAAGCACACTGAGTAGTTCTCTTCATTATTATGCTCTTGTATTTTGGACTTAAGAAGCTAATAGTGATATTACGCAATCATTATTCTCAGTATTACTTAGGACTGCACGAAACATAAACTTCATGTAACAGTCTTGATTTACATCTTCCATTCATATCTCTTAAGTTAAATAATGCACAATTATAATGATTTAAGGATCAGAATGGGTAAATATTTAACCGAGTATCAGAACAAGTGAGAAGGGCAATTGCTATAGTCTAAAAATCCATGTAATACGAGGTGGGTATTGCATTCTCTGGCTGTAGCATCTGGGAGAGGATCATCAGTTTGTTTCCTCAGTGGCTAGTGAAGCCAAAAAGTCACAGCAGGAACACAGCTGAGGGCAGAAGGGAGAGAAAGGGATTTTGAGCCTCACAAAAAAGCGGTGTCCATTCCTTAGATCAAATTTCCATTCCAAACAACTTGGGCTCATCAGAATGGTGGAAGTCTTATCTGCTGTGGTAGCAAATACGAGGTTAAGCTGCAGTTTCTATAATGGACTCCCTTCCTCGTACAGTTCTCATGACAGCACTACCTGAACACCTTCTAGTAGTGCCTGTCCTCTGTTATAGATTCTTCTCCTCAGAGAGTGTCATTATATTGTCAGGGAATCTCCTCATACTGTAATAAGTGACATGACCAGCATTTGTCATATTATCTGTTCTCTTGTTGCCAGGGGAAGGAGCATGTGCAGTTGGATGTTTTCAGTTTATTTTATCTCTTTTCTTCCATATACGTGTTATGTATTTATGTTAGTGAGGCAAGGTCAAAGTAATGTGTTTTGTTCTTCAAGCAAAATGCAGTTAGGTTTCTGATGGCCCTTAGCTCCTAGGCACATTCATTCCATAGATTTGCACCAGCCCCGAGAAAGTTCTCTCTCTAGAAATGATAGCTTTTCCCCCTGTGTTGTACAAGTTCTCTTAATGTCAGAAGAGGGAAACTGTTGGCAACTGGATCCAGAGACCTAGTAGGCATTTCTTTACGAATCCTGGATTTAGGCCCTGGAGGGTCTTGAGAGCCTGAATTTGTAATTTAAAATTCTAGAGAAAATTAGTATAGAGTGGAAGAGAGGGACTTACAATAACCCACATTGCTGAGATGACATCCCCCATCTTCCTTTATTTGGAATTTCCTATATGCAGCAGACTGTGCTTGGATATACTGAATTGCCTAGGTCCAGTTGAGAGGTGGCAAAACCGAAGCAAGGTACTTATCTGCCAAAATGGCACAGAAGCTCATAGCTAGTCAGGGATGATTAGAAAGCTGGAGGCTGTCTTCTGACTCAGGCACACATTACAAATTACCTTGCTATGTGTTTCTAAGATTTATTTTACAACCATGAGGATTAGAGGAATTTGTTGTAATGAAAACTGGCATTGTGTCATTACCGTGTAACTTTTTCGCTAGATTCTTTGGCTTGCCTGGGTACTTGCATGGTATTCCGTTACCTTCATTTGGTCCGGTTCCTAGGTAAGTTAGACCGGTTGGAGGACACCAAGATACACCCACATGTAGTAATTATAATAATCTTTTCAATAATTGCACATCTACATATTATTTTGGTATTCTGTGTTTGTATGGCAGATGGACATACAGCCAGTGGGAATTAAATTTTTTTTCTATTTATTTTTCTAATTTGAGCCCTGCCTTGCCCCTGATGCTCGTCTAGCCTCCTAGATCCCTGTTATAGATTCGTCTAAGCCTCCCTGCAGACCTCTTCTGTAAATTTGATATCACTTGAAGTTTAAAGTTTCAGTTTAATAACCTAGTAACTGTAGCTGAACGTCCTCTTTCATGTATGAGTTTTCTACTTCCTTCTGTAGCCATTCAGTCTCTGATTTACCCTGACAAATGTAGGATTTGGAATTCATTACTTTTGCAATTTCAGTCTGCTAGCAATGATAGAGGTTGTAATCTAGAAAGGACTGAAGTGGACAGGATTTACTATTGTACAGTGAAAACAGAGTTCTGAATTTGCCAGTATAGACCTGATCTAGGGATGCTTCTGTAGGCAGTAAGGACTGCAAGAAGTATGTGCTGGCTTAGGACTTGCATCTACTTTATTAGATTTCTTATAAACTTCCAGATGAAAAAAAAACCTAGCATTTTTTTTTTTTTACTGTAGACTACCTCCTGATTTTTCAAGAGCCAACTTTCAATTTAGTTTTTTTTCCAGTTCCTAAAATGCCCAACGTAGCATAAAGACTAATGGTGTAGTTGAAAGGTTGGATTTACTGTATTTCATTCAGATCTTATAATATTGACTCTAACATGGCTGTAGGCCTGACTCATAATAATGAACATATCCCTGAGGATTTAAGAAACCTTCGTTATTAAACTTAGGTTCTGTGGTATAGTTTTGCTAAAATGGCCTAACTGTAACTTCTTAATTTTTTAATATTTTGTGGATTTAATGGTTGTGAAAAGTGCTGGCTTGGTATCTGTGAAAACTGAAGCCCGTTCTTTATTCATGGATTAATTACAGCACAGCAGTTGCCAAGTGATCTTCTCCACAGCACCCATGAACTTCAGCCTTGAACTGAAGAGGACTCATCAAATGGTGAGAAAATAGTGCGGTTGTCGTGACTATTAAGTTATTGAGGGGATGCTCTATTATTTTTTTTCTTCCTAGCATTGATTCTGTTATTTAATAGGTATTGAAGTTAGATTTTTGTAGAGAAATTGCTGGGACCATAACCTAATTTCTCCCCCTCCCCCAGTATTTCAGCTGTTAATTTCTCAAGCTTTGCTATCTTCTTAGCTGTCCTTGACTTTTCAAAAATAATTGTTAGTGATACACTGAATTCATTAGCTAATTTCTTTCTTACTTGCTTTAGCCTTAGTCCTGTGCATGTGCTTAACTCTGTTCACATGAGTAGTTTTATCAGTAGCACCGCTTAGAGGAGTGAAGTTCAGATATGTGGAATTGTTTGAAAGATTGAAGCTTAAACTTTGCAGATATGTATGCCTGCATTTAAATGAAATGCTACTGAAATGAATGCAGGAGTGAGGGATCTGGAAATGCTTTAGCTAGTACTAATTTGTTTGCTTTTATGCTGTTCAATTTATTTCTTTTAAAACAGCTTGATGTAAGTTGTTCATTTGCTTCTCTAGTTTCCCAATTTCTGGGAAATTTTGAAATCTGAGCTTCAAAACATTTATAAAATTTTAGTAATGCCCATAATTCTCCTGAGAAGAACAAATGTTATTTCATTTAACCGTTTTATGAAAAGGTGACTGAATCTACAGAGGAACTAATTCTATCTCTAACTCACTGCCTTAATCAGGTCTTTAATCTCACTCTAGAGCTCTACCTTCATTAAGTAATGATTCTTATATGTATGGATTTATTAAGCATACATCTTAAAAACAGGGAGTTTCCTTTTTTACAGCTACAGATAAAGGATGGAATATTGGTAGCAAGTGGTTGTGTGTTTAAGAATATAGTTTTTGAGTGTTGATATTGGCTTCCTGGTCATTTAGATAGGTGACAGCTTAACATAATGGTGCACAGAATGATCCATATTTCAGGAGACAGATCACAATGATCAGAAGTTCACAGGATGCTGAGAGATGGCCCAGACCTTTTTTGGTGTCTCAAAAGGTGGCTCAATTTCTGTTTTCCTTTAGTAACTGTATTGTAGAGTAAGGAGTAAAAGGGACAGAACACTACTAGCGGCTTATGATTTCCACGTTTTCTCGTATCTCTATGGTTGTTACCGTAGAGATTGGAATATGGGATATTAACCCTCTCCCAGCTATTTACCAAATTGGGTTTGGAAGTGCAAGTGTGTTTAAATAGGCAGGAGAGATGGTGAGCCCTTTATACCAATAAATTAACTACACCCTGTGTTAAGAATTACTTTAGTACTGTTATCAACCACTGAACTAATTTAACTTTTGCCAGGGTTATGTACCATTTTGTGTAATAAAAATAGAATTTAATACTTAAGCCACAAAGGAGCAGTAGTTTTCAGGCAGAGTGCATTAAGATATAACCCAGAGACCATTTATTTTTAATACAGATTCAACAATCTATTTCTTTTTTCTTTCTTACCCACTTTTTCTTTAGTTTTCTTTTTGAGACCCGATTCTTGAATTAACTTTAAGCACTTAATTATTTACATTCTGCTTCATCAAACAATTAATCTTGTACTTGAGTCACAATACTTGCATGAGTATGGCTTTTGAGAGAAGAGTTTGAATCCACGTTAGTCCCTTGCGTCTTGTACTTGGCTTTGCCTATCGGATAACCAATAGGCTGGATCCAGGCTAGTGCCAAAGTGAGTCTGCATGTTAGCAGGGTAAGGAGTTGGGGCTCAGATCTGAATGCATGCTCGATACTACAGACATAGTGAATGATTACAAGATGATTTAAATTTATTTTCAAATTTAAGCACTTCTTTAGTTGTTTAGCTGAGCAGAGTTTAGATATTCCACATGCTTAAAATTAAATGGTTCAGGTTAAGTGGCTTAAAAGTTTTCCTAAAGCATTTTTGGAATCAATGCAATTCTTTTACTTCAATAGAAGAAGAGATAGGCCAATGTCAAACAGTTTTGAAAAGCCCATTCTCATTGCTCTCCTGAGAAGATAATTTTGTTTCTTTTATTCCATCCCCTTTTTGGTTAAGTCACTCTCACTTCCCTGACTCCTCTTATAACCATTGTTTCCTGCTAACCTTTCCTCTAATGTCCAGTTTTCTATTAACTTTTCCACACTGACTATTCTCTGTCTCTCTTCTTTTTACTGGAGTTTTGGAGAGGTCATTATACTTTTTCAGTTTCTTTCCTTCTTTCATCAGTTCCTGGAATCCAACAACAAATAAACCCCTCTGATTTCAACTATGCCTTTTTGGTGAGAAATGCACAGGTAAAAAATTTAGTGCTAGATCAATAGAAAGGGTAAGCAGAGCTCTGTGGATGTCATTTATAAAAAAGGGAACTGGGACTTGCATATTATTAAAAATTATTCCCTAAATTGGGGTATCAGGATCTGGATCCAGGCAGTAGGATCAGGATTTTAAGGTGATTCTTTAAAAATCACTATGCTTATTCCAAAAAAAAAAAAAAAAGAAAATTCAACCAAAAACCTCACAAAAGAAAAGTCCAGGTGTACTGAATAGATTCATTAGACTTAATGTACTGTTCTTTTATTGAGCTATGTACCACTGAACTTCTCTTAAGCCTTAGGAGAGACAGCATGGATTTGGAAGAGAAGCAGGCATCTCCATGAAGGGCAGTCTACTACAGTCTTGGTGAGTTCAAAAAATATATATAAAATTTTATTTCTGTTAAATTTTCATCTTTATGAAGCGACATATATTTAGGGCCCTGATCACCGTGGCAAAGCAAAGCCAGTTTTATTGAAACAGTCTCTACATTCTCTGGATTGATTTATGCTATCACCATGTAAAAATCTGTGTTCTGTTATAGCTGAGTCTGTGGTGTAACTCCTGAATGAAAACAATAAATGACATTAAATTCATTAGTTATTTTCACAGTGATTATGCTACGGTGTTTTCATGCCCAGTTTCTGAACAAAACAAGATATATAGGATTATGTTGTCTCCTAATAACTTTTGAATCCACCGCTTAATTTCAGCTGCATTTGATATAGAGACAGAGGTCACAAAGTCAAGTTTCTGCAATTTGAGTGAAACTTAGCAGCTGTGAGTAGAGAAAGGACTCAAATCAGTGCCCCTGGGGTAGAAAAAGCTGCAGCGTGGACTTAGAAATTTTCTGTTGTGTTCAACCTGTTGACTTGCCAGTCTGTGTGCTTGGTTGGTCTGCCAGTCAATGCATGTGTAGCTCAGACCTAGCCACAATGTGAGCTGCCTCTTGTTCTCCTAGAAGTCAGAAGCTGGTGTTTTCTGCAGGAATTTAGGGAAATCTGTTTAGAAGGGAATGGGAAACCAGCCAGGTTAGTGTCAGCCTGGGATTACTGCACAAGTGTGTTGGTGGCACGTACAAGCACACTGATAGGTAACTAGGCTTCATTACTTCTGCTAGTCATGAAAAAAACCTTGTTTTTGCCAGGGCCTTCTAGTCTCCCAAACCACTTGTGAATCATTCCATTTTATGGTAGTTTCTATACCTGGATTAGATGCATGTTTTTCCTGTCCACGTCAGAGAAGGGAACTGTTGAGACAGCTTCAGTATTTCATTTCTTTGACTGTTTGGATGTCAGCTCTGAGCTATTTCTTAGGCTGTCAAAATTGTAAAACTGTGTTTTCAGCTCTCCCCAGAAACTGACTGTAATTTAGGCTGCAGCTATGTGCCCCTGACCCATCCTACAACCTACACTCTTGGAGCAGTGCAGGAAACATGCATTGTATTCCAATTAACTTCCTTTGTGAAGAAAGCTGTGGAGCTAGGCACAGGGACAGAAAACAATATTAGGATCTGGCTGCATCAAGTTACCACATTGCACTGCAGCTTGGGAAGTGCTAAAGCTGTAGCTGCATGATTATGGGCACCACGATTGCCCTGAAAGGTATGGTCTGCCCATGCTTCTCAGTCAATGAGAAATGGGCAGATTGCACTTGCCAGAGGTACTAGTTCACTCACTTTGCAGGCTCAGGTAGGCAGCACTAACTTGGCAGATGTCTGATGTGTTTACATTTTCTGCATAATGTTAGACAGGGGTCAAGATATCTTATAATGCTTTTTAAACAGAACTTAGCACTGTGGCACTGTTCTTTAGAAACAGTTGAATTTCTCAGAATAACAGAAGCCTAAGAGTCATGCATATGAAACATAAAATTTAAAAGCAGTAACGCGAGAAGAAACACTTAGAATTCAATATTGTAAGACAACTGCCTTGAAATTTGTCACAAAGTCTGAAATGCGTATTTTAAATTTTTTTGTTTGTCCTCCTGCCCAGTTGAAAACCATCAACCTGGCAGCAAGGAACAAAAAACTGTGATACTCTTCTCTCCATTTTCTGCTTGTTTTCATGTCTGTTGTTTCATGAAATCAAAGCCAGTAAGAGAACAACTGGTCATAAAAAAAAAAAAAAAAAAAAAAAAGAAAAGACTGCATTCCATTTTTATGGAACTTTTGGTTCTTCTGTTAGATTCTCAAATCCTTTCGTTTGGTCCCAGCTTTTTTTTAGAAAAATATCGTTGTTTCCCTAATGCTATCTGTATTAAAGGAATGAAGAAATGTCTTCTGCATGTTTCTAGGATCTAGTGATTGCTCTTATAACCTTTATCACCAGGGTCACCAGTTAAATATTATTTCATGGAACCTACGGCTAACCTGTTTTTAACTGGCTTATAATGTATAAAAACATTGTAACTTATAATATTTTCCTTTGAAAGATCAACATAGATGTGTTTTTAATAAGAACAGTAAGTTCAAATCATGAATGTTAAGTTTTGTGTGAACAGCAAAGTGGTGGTATAGTCTTGTTTAATGTTATATTCTGTGCTTCCTATATTTTAAATGGTGTTCACTAAGAGCTTGAACTCAGCAAATAATTATAGTTGATTTTCTTAATGATTTTTTCTTTAAAAAAGCCAACCCTTTTTAGTCTGAAAATGACTAATACTAAACTACTTTTTATCACGTATTTTCAAAGACCTTGGTCTTGGATGCTGCTATATGTGGTCAGATACTTTCACGTTCATAAAGACCTCAATAAATTCACAGGCCTATACTGTGTCCCCAGAATGGGTGTTGAGACAGATTTTAAGAAGGCTTAAGCACTAAAAAGCGACTTGTGTCATAGACCAAAAAAACTAGGATAATTAATTTTTAGAAAATAATAATTAAAAATTTATGTTTCAAATACATATCAGTAAAAGCTCCCATAATGTGCTGTCACTACATGTAAAATCCGTAAGTAATTTTAAGCCAACATTCTTTAAAGAAGGAGCTAAAAATTCCTATAAGTGATATGCAACTTAAAGATGTATGGAACTCCTTTATTATGTGCTAAATGCTGTAATAAAACAGACTATCAGTAGGTTTTGCTGCATGTTACTAATTTTATTTTTTTATCCCGATATTTTTGCAGGTGTGTGGAGGAACAGGTCCTGTTCTCGCTGTTGTTACTCCCACATAGGCGGACTCTGTAATTGATTATGTGTGGGTAGGGCCCTATTGAAATTAAGGAGATTCTGCAATAGTGCAGGGTTCTTTTTGTGAAAGTTCAGTTGCAAGATCAGGACCCTACTGTGACTCCTTACTGTGAATTCTGTCAGTGTATCATTGGTTGTGCTGGAACCTGCCTTTTGGGATAATGTAAGTTCTGCTTTTCCCCCAAATGTACTTTAGACATGAAATAATCATAAAACATTTCTAATTAGAAAATTAATATCATTTACATGCATTCTTTTAATTATGTTTTTTTGGCAGTACCAAATAATATATTCCTCAAAACTTCTTAATGGCACTGAGGCTTTGTGGATAGTTGGTCACATGATGAGAAAATTCAGCTGTAAGTACATTGAAATGATTGATTTTTTCTATAGTTAGTCTTTACTGATGTTGACAAACTAATAATGATAAAAAGGTGAATCAAGAGGTTTGGCTTATGTCAATTGACTTCAGTTCTTCTTAGAAAATATATACAATATATCCATTAAGGATTTCATTATTCTTGGGTCATTCACCATGTGAACCTGGAGTCCTTCCGTACCGCTATTAAGCAGGGAGTTTTAATTTGTTTGTCTTCTTTATTTTCAGAATGGTGTGTCTCTGACTTGCACTGTATTTTCACCCATAAACTTTCTGAAATTCATAGATCTACAAAACCTGTTTATACCACCAATATTTCTGTAGATACCGCAAACCGATTTACTAACATAATTGTCTTGCTGAGCTGAACATTGAAATGTTAATAAATATACACTTATACTTGTGTCAATGTAACTTGGTTAAATTAAACTAAACCGAGCTGGCATTATGAGTGAATTTGATCATGCATGCTGATTAGCTATAGTCTTAGGCAGGAACTACATATTTTATTGTACCTAAGTACTTTGTGCTTAATCAATAATAATTACCCATATCATATGTCAGTGGATTCACCCAAAATAACTATAAATATGTATGCTTGGATTAAGGAGGAAGTTCTTTTCCTGTAGCTATGGGTACAGTCATTGCTATGACTTCTATTTTTATATACAAGTGAGCAAAAACTACATGTAGGTATTTTCCCTGTATAACAAAAGGAGTATCATAAACTCCATGCCCTTTTTTATGAAGCTGTATTTCCTTTCTGGTATTCAAATACAAGAATGTTTTCAATGGGGTCTTAGTATCTGAAAAATGGAAGAACTGGAAATGTTATTGAATTTGTAAATAATTATTAAGGGGCTGTAAAGGTCTAGAGGAGTTGTATGTAAGGACAATTAGAGATTCTTTCCCATGGAGCAAGGACACATATAACAATTGGTGAGTAAAGATTAAGGAGGACAGGATTAGGTTTTTTTGCTTGGCACAAGAGCAGCATGAAATGAAAGTAATTTGAAGAAAGAGCAAGACCAAAGAAGAAATCATAAACTCAGATCAAAAGCAGACTAGAGAGTCCAATTTAAAAAAAAACAAAACAAAACAAAAAAAAAAAACCAAACAAAACTAAAAACCAGAAAATGGATGGCAAAAATATGCCTGAAAGGAGAACTAAATGCATAGCTACTGGTATTTCTCATTGCATTGAATATATGATAGATTTAAGTTTAAAACTTTGAGTAAGTGTTTTTCTCTAATTTTTTTTTCTGTTGGAGGGGAGTATATGGGCTTTGAAGAAGACTCAATGACTAGTTGTGAATTACCTGTATAAATTGGGGATTCAAGATGACAGTTACAATTAAGAACAGAGGACAATGGGTTATGTATGCTAAACTACAATTAGTGCTAAGCAGAAGCCTTAATTTCTTGTTCATACACAGAACTTAATGATTTTGAAATGTGTCGTCTTCAACAGAGCTCAAAACACAATTTCATTATGTTCGTTACAGGATGGGAATTTTCAAAGCTCTAGTTTAAAAACTTAACAGTGATTCTTTTGAGCTTTTGCAATACAAAATGAAATTGACATTTTCAATATGAAATGAATTCAATATGTGAGAACATTGGATGTTTAATTTTGCACAAAAAAATCTTGATCAGCATATTTTGGTTTTAAAATATTTCAACCTAATGGTTTACTGTTTTCACCTTTTAATCCTATTGGCCGTATTTATTCTTACTTGCACTAAGTTGGGTAAAAGAAAGAAAAGGAGAGGGAGATCAGGTGATTGCAAAAAAACCCCAAACACGGCCCTCTAGCCATGCCTGCCCCACCCCAAACCAGATCAAAAGAAGTGTCTCAGAGTAGATCTAGTTTCAGAGGAGAAAAGGGAGGAAAGTGACGTGCTAGGGAGTGGGGTATGAGGAATCCCCTGGATGTTTCATATGTATCCAATTTTTTCACTCATCACCACTGAGAGGCAGATCACCTAGGTGTGACTGCTTCTCCTTCCTGCGATGGCAACTTCCCAGTACTTTGAGGGAGGTAACGTTGAGGCACAGCTCTGTTCTGCCTGCGGTAGTGTTGCTACAAATAGTATTTGGAAGAAAAGGAACTCTGAATTGTCTCCTGCTGTAACCAGCTCTCCACTACTCACTGCTGCTAACCCCCATTGTGGAGCACCTGATCTGATTGTTTCTTTGGTTTAACCCATGCCATGATGCCATAAATGACTGAAACTAGGAGAACAGCAAGAAAGCAGATATCAAGAGGAGGAGTTGATTTTGTGGAATGTAGCAAGTGGGCATTTGCTACACAGCTACACATTGTGTGGGCTTGGGAATACTTCAAGAGCTGGAATACCAAACTACAGCAACAGAGAGTAAGTTTCCTTTAGTGGCAAACCGAGGTGATAGCCCTGGTTCTGTGCACTAAGAAGGGAGAGCAAAGGAATGTGCCTGAACATTCAGCATGTTAGTTGTTGTAAGTTTAAGTTGTGAGATCTTTTTCTCTGCTGCTGTTTGTGCTTGGCTTGTATCGTGACTGTCCTGTCTTCAAGCTGGATGTAGCATGTTTTTGTTTTATGTCAAATGAGGCACCTATCATATTATAATGTCACGAACATTGTTTTTCTTCAACCCTTGAAAGTCAAAACGTGGTAGCATAGATAGCTGTAATAAGTTAGTAATAAATGTGACACGAAAGAATTTTCTCATTTCACAGTATTTATAGGAAAAACAATGTTTTATGTGTTTCATATACCTCCTCCCATCTTCTTTTCCACTCCTAAGCAGATCTAATGCATGAAAATTTTTTTTAGTAGTGCCCTCAGTTCTTTATTTCCAGTTACAACTATTGGTCTCTTGTTAGTAGCTTTTTTTCATATTTAGGTTGAGGGCCTCACAGAACCTCTCTGCATCCTCTGTGAATGACACCATCATGCTGTCGTTTGTTTTAACTCATCAAACCTAGGCTAAATCTGAGTTTGGGGAATCTTTTTTCCAGCCCTTTAAGGATGGTCTTTCTTCTCTGTCAGACGATTATATTTTTCGTCCAGGTTTTCCATGGACCATCTCTTTATTAGAAAATCTTTTTCTTTTGCCTTGATAAATGCAGTCTCGCCATGCTCATTATCTAGTCAAAGTGCTACTCTACTGTAAATATCAGTTTCCAAACTTACTCCTTTAGTATTTTCAATTTCCTCCTTCAGTTTAAAGCAATAAAGATAAGCTATCTGTCTTTATTTTCAAGGCCCATCAAGACTACTTCTACCTGATATCTCTCCTTCAGTATCAAGAGGTTGACTCTGGTTTTGATCAACATATGATGCCAGCTTCCATCATTCGGTCGTTAAATTTTCAGATCACACTGGATATTTTCTCTCCAGCTGCCTCTCATGTATTGGTTGACTTTTTCATAAACAAAACTGTTTACTGTCTCCCTTTAAATATCTTCTTAAAAGTTTTATGTACCGTGAAGCTTAAAACAATCCAACTAGACAGTAGTTATATTGCAGGTATATTAATGCCAACGGTTATCACAGTAGTACCGTATCGTTGCATTTGTACTCTGCCATAATTTCTCCGTTGTCTCTTTATGTGGAATTCAAGCACATCTGCTTTTGTTGTGTGTTTATTTATGGCCCACCATAATGAGAAGTGGTCCAGGGTGAGGGCTCCCAAGATTTATGGTAATACAAATAAATAATAATGAATACCCACTGGATACTGCAGTGTAGCTGTTGGATTCTGCTGTGCCTAATGTCACATCATATTTAATGCAGAAAGAAGGTGCTCCAACTAGAGGCCTCACAAAAGGGAAAGAAGCGAGTTGCAGCCAACAGATAAAATGCTAGCCCCAGAGGCCTTCTCAACTGTCAAACCCAAGTCAATAGCCCCTGGCATTGTGTCCTCAAAGCATCCCTCTCTTCTCTTCTCCACAGCAGTAAGAACAGACTCTCCCTTCTCATAGAAGAAAGTAAATGCAAATATTAAAAAGTTCTGCAGTGTGTGCAAGAGGTTAAAGGACTTTTTATACTTCCATAGTGCCCTTCCGCTCCTTAGTGCATTCCCTTCCTGACACAGCATCTCTTGGTACAGAAATCTTGAATAACTACAGGCAGTTGCTCCAGCCATGCTGTTGGTCAGTCCTTTTTCAAATGCCATCTGATCTCTGTTGAGAAGGGACCTACACTAGTTTTGATTTGGTATCTTGGTACATATTGCTATCTCGTAGTGCTCCGTTTCCTTTGTGCCTTGAAGGTAATGATTCTTCAGAAGAGTGGTAAGCATGAATTCCTTCAGGAATTCCCCAGGTATGTCACCCTCTTGCTGGAAGTGGGTCTGCATGTATCCCTTTTCTTTCTTTCAAAGGGGCGCTGAAATGTCAGTGTATAGATTAGAGACAGATGGTAGAATGTTTAGTGTCTAGCTGATACAGAGATGGTAGATTGGACTATGCAGACACACGACACTGCATATACCAAAGAAAATATAGTCAAATAAGTTAATTTTATCAGAATAAACCACAAACCATAATTACAAATGGTTCTATGTCTGAATAGGAAAAGTCTAGTAAGAGCTCTGGGCTAGTTGATGGGATGGAGACAGTGACTGTGGGAGACTGGAGAGGCTGTACAACGCGAAAGCTTGATCATAACAAGAGTTCTCAGTTATCTATATATAGACTGGATAAACTTAACATTAGGCCACATTAGGCCATCATGCACAGCCTGTATTTTTAAGTATCATCAAGTACTACTTTTTGAGCAAACCAGCTAGAGAATCCATAAGAGGGGGGACAGCCCTTGATTTAGTCTAGATTAGCACACAAGAAGTGACTATAGAAGAACGGTTCAGTAGCGCTCTCTCACGTCATACTCAAGTTTCTCATTCTTGTAAGAGAGAAAAAGATTAAAATAAAAAAAGTCCAGTATTGTTTAAAAAAGAATTGCATAGAAATGAAAATACAGTTTAAATAAATATTAAAGGAGACATGAGGACTTCGCTTTCTGACTCTAACTCAATTGAATAAGAATTGTCCAACACAACTGAACAGTAAAGGAAGTTGCTAGAAATAAATGGAGGTTTTCAAAAAGTGAAATCCAAGCAAGCAAAGCAGAAAAGAGCACAGTTCTGGCAAGTTAAATGTAGATCTATTATAAGGCA